GTCCAGATTTTAGAGCTATCATGACCGTCGATCGACATTAACGTGTTGGATTAAGCTTACTCATACACGAGTGGGTCCGACATCTGTTGGCTACATTTTTTGGGGTCAACAAATAATAATAATAATAATAATAATAATAATAATAATAATAATAATAATAATAATAAATGAAAAGAAAAAATAAATGAGGCAAGGGACCAACCCGCCTCACCCCAAACTCGTCTCGTCCTGCTTTAATCGGGAATGGGGATGGGATAAGGTAACAAAAATACCCAACAGAAGGAGGTGGAAACAGCCGACCAGTCTCATACCCAACAAGATGATCGCAAAGGAGTTCAGCATCCATATCCGTATCCGTCTCCATCTATTACTTCTTCATTGTTGTATAATAATGTTGTATGTACGCCAGGTTAAAGCTTACCTATAGAGAATCATTTATATCAACGCTCATTTTTTCATAAATTCCGCCTTGGCACCTCAGGCGATCATTGATATTTCCCATAATTTGTTAAATTTCATAATAGAAAAAGCACAAGATCATAACGAATATGAAAATAAGTGTCATCCCCAAAACCGGTATATGCTAAAACACGAAATAACACAGCATATGACCATTGCAGTTAAAGAAGACATTGCTATTTCATTTCTACCAAGACCAAATTATTGTTCCAGTTCGAATAAGACACATCCACCTACACTCAAAAATGTTTTGATCCACCCACCAAAAATAGCTAGAGAAGGAAACCTATAAGAAATAAAGGACTGGTTTAGTAAGAGAGACTGGACCATAGTACTAAAGAGCAAAAAGAAGTTAAAATCTTTGCCTACTCTAACATCCAATCCAGTCCAGCACTAAACATGCCAAACGTGCCCTGAATGGATTACAAGGCTTATGAATCTGCTTTAACATTCTCAGCTTCACCTGCATGGTAACCGAAATTCCCACTAAAACCCCGGCCACCCCTTCCTCTGAAATGATTGTTTCGGGCGTAGTAATTGCCCGGCTGGTCATGAAATTGGCTGCGGCCATTCTGATAGCCTCCCCTCCCGCTGCCTCGCCCTCCACGACCATTAGGATATCCTCCCCTACGGCCAACCCCATTCCCACCTCGTCCACCTCTATAATTCTGATACGACCGTCGAGGAACAAACTGTTGATCCTTTGACTCAACACCCCTAGAAATTTGCTCCGCTTCTGTATCTGGGTTGACGGGCTCCATTTGAGGTTGGATTTCTGCTGAGTTTTCTGCTTCTGACCCCCCTCCCTGCAACCGAAATAATTAATCAATAATGAATATTTCAAAAAGGCTTAATTTATTTTATTTTATTTTTTAAAAATAATAGAATAAATATAATACCAAATGATGTTCCTCAACATGATCAGATCGAACATCATGGACTTCATTTCCATGTGCTTGTACACTGAGTGATTCTACTGCCTGTAGAGAACATTTGAAAACAAGAGAAAAAAGTGAGAATTGAAAAAAAAAAAAAAAAAAAAAACCCCAAAAAACAAAAAAAAAAAAA